CCCCAGAAGTGATGTCATCACATTGCCAACGTTGGGGGGGGGGTGATGCTCTAGTTTTTAGGCAAAACTCTATGGTTTATGCCCAGATTTACCACAGAGTTTTGCCTAAAAACTAGAGCGTTGCCCCTTCCGACATCAGTGATATGATGATGTCACCTCCAGGTGATATCATTACATTGTGTTGGGTGCCATTTGTGGGTGGGTTTCCCCCCAAAGGGCCCCCACAAAAGCAAGGGAACCCCCGCCCAGACTGAGGCCCTGGGAACCCTAATGTTTCCAGGTTGCGGGGGGCCTGCACCAATTAGAGTATCGTGAGCAGACATCTTTCTGAGACTTCAGAGTTTTTCTACCCATCATAGTACGTGCTGAGCTATATAGACCAGTGGCCTGACTCTCTGTGAGGCAGATTCAGAAGAATCTTTCAAATATTTTGAACCTGGACTCCACTTTTGATCCCTCCCTCACCTAAAGGGAATATGTGTTCTGTAGGCATCTGTTCCACAGGTACACAGTCATTCTTGCATGTATGTGAAGACTCGCCAGCTGAAGATTTGGGCACTAATTCAGTAGTTCCATTATAAAAGACGAATAGGACAGGATAGCCTCTCCCTTTTCCTAAAGCCACCCAGAAGGAAACTTTACTAAAACAAATCATCTGTACTTCCTGAACACCCTTCCTCACAAACCGGAATAGAGTTCCCAGCCCCCAGCCCCCAATCCACCCCCAAACAGAGAGTCTCCATGCAGCATCACCGATATGATGACATCACTTGCAGATGATATCATCGCGTCAGGGACGTCACGTGTGACATCCCACCCACCCCTGGAATGCCCAGGGGACCTGGCAACCCTGAAGCAAAATGGGATGAGGTAATTGTGCTGTGACTTCCATGTTTCCAGTATGGACCAATGAGGATCCTCTGTTCAGAATTATTTAGGCCACTCATGTGTTGTCTGGTGGAGGAGGGCCTTAGACTCATCTCCCTCTATGGCACTGGGTATCCCCTCTGCAAGACTTCATATTATCCCAACTATGAGCCATTTGTGGGTGGGTTTCCCCCCAAAGGGCCCCCACAAAAGCAAGGGAACCCCCGCCCAGACTGAGGCCCTGGGAACCCTAATGTTTCCAGGTTGCGGGGGGCCTGCACCAATTAGAGTATCGTGAGCAGACATCTTTCTGAGACTTCAGAGTTTTTCTACCCATCATAGTACGTGCTGAGCTATATAGACCAGTGGCCTGACTCTCTGTGAGGCAGATTCAGAAGAATCTTTCAAATATTTTGAACCTGGACTCCACTTTTGATCCCTCCCTCACCTAAAGGGAATATGTGTTCTGTAGGCATCTGTTCCACAGGTACACAGTCATTCTTGCATGTATGTGAAGACTCGCCAGCTGAAGATTTGGGCACTAATTCAGTAGTTCCATTATAAAAGACGAATAGGACAGGATAGCCTCTCCCTTTTCCTAAAGCCACCCAGAAGGAAACTTTACTAAAACAAATCATCTGTACTTCCTGAACACCCTTCCTCACAAACCAGAATAGAGTTCCCAGCCCCCAGCCCCCAATCCACCCCCAAACAGAGAGTCTCCATGCAGCATCACCGATATGATGACATCACTTGCAGATGATATCATCGCGTCAGGGACGTCACGTGTGACATCCCACCCACCCCTGGAATGCCCTCCAAATCCCCCCGGCCTGACGGCAAGGGGACCTGGGAACCCTGAAGCCAAATGGGATGAGGTAATTGTGCTGTGACTTCCATGTTTCCAGTATGGACCAATAAGGATCCTCTGTTCAGAATTATTCAGGTCACTTATGTGTTGTCTGGTGGAGGAGGCCCTTAGAATCAACTCCCTCTATGGCACTGGGTATCTCCCCTGCAAGACTTCATATTATCCCAACTATGAAGATCTACCCCACAGCATGAGAACTTACGTAGGTGTCATGGAATGATTCCCTAGCATATTCTTTGTATATGTGAAAGGGTCCCATTCACTCTAGGTTTTCTTGTCGCCTGGCACATGGAGGCAGAAAATAGGGTCTGGATGAATTATCTTTGATGTCTGGTACCCCAAACTGCTGAAACAAGTGTCTCACCCCATCATCCTGGTTTGGGACAGAATGAAATTGTGGGTTTGGTAATTACAGTCTAGCGAAAGAAGAAGAAACAACCTATGGGGGCCATGAAGCTGGCTAGCAACAAGCAATCTTAGGGGATTTCAGTGGTATTTCAAAGCGGGGCTGTGGCTCAGTGGAAGAGCCTCTGCTTTGCACGTAAAAGTTCCCAGGTTCAATCCCCCACATCTCCAGTTACAAGGACCAGGTAGTAGGTGATGTGTAAGACCTCTACCTGAGACCCTGGAGAGCTGCTGCCAGTCTGAGTAAATTGACCGATGGTCTAATTCAGTATAAGGCAGTTTCATGTATGTTTATGTATGTATATGGTGTTTCTTTTGGAGGACTGATGCTGAATTAAGAGTAGCATTCCTTATGTGTTTTCCTGCCTCCCCCCCTGTAAATATACATGTCTAAAAATAAACAGATATTACACATCGTACTATAACTCACTAGGACGAGCAAGGAAACTGATCCTATAAGGCTAACTACCCCAAAGCTGTAGGAGGAAAGAGAGAATATGTAAAAATAGTTTAGTGTGTTGGACAGTATGTGTGTCTTCTAACCCTTGTCATTTGATAAAATAACACTAAATAACAGAAAGTACGGTGGGTGGACTGCTTCCAGCATGGCAGTGCTGTTCCTTTGAATCTTTTTATAGCAGCCCCATTGCCTCGAAAGGCAAAAAATGTGTAAAATTGTTCTTCGTTGAATACTGTAAAATGCTTTCCCCTTTGCCCAAGCTGTTTGTGCAATGTCTCCAGCAGACATTAAGATGGTATGTTTGATTTTGCCGTGGTTGTTTTTTTTAAATCCTCCTTTGCATCCTTCTGTCGCCGTATGGTGTTTTCAGTTGTCTCACCAAGCAGCTGCACCTTCATACCACCTCAAAACCCACGCAGAAACAACTCGAAGGCAGGTAGCGATGGAATTGCCAATGGGGGCCTTTAATCTGAAACTCCGTTTCAGTTTCCTTTGTTCCTCGGTTCCCACTTGAAGTAAGGAGGACTCCCACGAGGTGCCTGATGTCTGGCGCATCAAGGTCTTTTTATGTGCGGCATCAAAATATTGCCACCCAGTGTGAAAGCTCAGTTCACAAATTTGAGGGTTTCTCCTCCCCTCGGGGAAGGGCTCTTACTTCCATTTCTATCTGTCCATGGCTGTATGGAACCATCCCCCCCCCTGGTCTAAATTCTATGAAAAAGGAAGGTGCACCAAAAGGATTCTGAGCCGTGTCCTAGAAGTAGCTTTTGCCCCACTTGCGTTAGCAAGCTGATCACTACATGGCTGGTAAGAATCTGGAACAGAGTTGCCGGCAGGCCTGAAGAAAATGTCCTCTCCCTTTAACAGAGCCTTACTCTGTGGAAATGAGCAGCTGAAGCTTTCCGTGGCATGGACGTAAATAACATCCCATTAATCCTCTATTAAGGGGACAGGAAGACACTGGTTTCCTAAATAACATCCCATTAATCCTCTATTAATCCTCTATTAATCCAGGAGGACACTGGGCTACTGGAAACTCTGGATTCATCAGGTGGAATTTCCCAATTGTGGTCATTGCAACCTGGCACATGAGCCTGCAGGAATGGCCTTGTGAATGCTTGCTAGTGTTGCAATACGTTTTAGCCCTTCGTTGCAAGATGTCATAGTCCTGCTGTATACTGCATTGGTCAGGCCACACCTGGAGTATTGTGTACCGTTCTGGAGGCCTCACTTCAAGAAAGGATGTGGAAAGAATGGAGCAGGTGCAGAGGAGAGTGACGAGGGTGATCGGAGGCCTGGAGACCAATCCCTGTGAGGAAAGGCTGAGGGATTTGGGAATATTCAGTCTGGAGCAGAGGAGGTTGAGGGGGGAACATGATTGCTCTCTTTAAATATTTGAAGGGTTGTCACTTAGAGGAGGGCAGGGAGCTGTTCCTGTTGGCAGCAGAGGGTAGGACTCTGCAATGATGGGTTTAAACTAAGGGTGGGAAGGTACTAGCTGGATATTAGGAAAAACGTTGTTATAGTAAGAGTTGTGCAACAACGGAATCAGCTGCCTAGGGAGCTGATGAGCTCCCCCTCACTGGCAGTCTTTCAGCAGCGGCTGGACAAACACTGGTCAGGGATGCTCTAGGCTGATCCGGCATTGATCAGGGGGTTGGACTTGATGGCCTGTGTGGCCCCTGCCAACTCTGTGATTCTTTGATTTTTTAAAAAGTTGCTGAGGACTTACTTGTACCACACACATTCTCAGCACAGGCAATCTTCTTGGCTTCAGACAAGGAACTAGTTTTTGTAAAGTCAAAAAAAGCTGTTGATTTTACCCTTGCCCGTGTGCCCATCAGTGACAAATATAAGCATGGGCAGGCCTGACTTAAACTAGGTAGTCTAGGCTGGCTGGTCTGGTCAGAGCTCAGAAGCTAAGAAAGTCAACTCTGGTTAGTGCCGGAGTGGGAGACCATCGAAGAAGTCCAGGGTTGCTACACAGAGACAGGCCATGGCAAATCAAGAATTAATTTAGAGGGGGGAAATCCATGCAAATTCACACTTTGAGAAGGAGAAATTCTATGCAGCCGTGACTTGTGACCTTGAAATGTGGGTTTATCAGGTGAATGAATGCATTATGGGCCTGGCTAGAACGATGACCCTTTTTCCTTCCAGCCCTCTCACGCTGCTGTGCAGGACTGGCTGCCGTGCCAGACTTCGAGAGTCTTAGTGGACAAGCGTTGCTCGGTCCTTCCATTTCCTTGCTTGTTTTTCTCATTTAGGTTGTCCCCTGCTTGGGCCTGGACACGTCAGTAAAAGAAGGTTCCCTTCCTCACTCTGACCCAATGTAAACGCTATATGCTCCGTAACCCAGAGTGCTCTGCTTACCTCTCTTTGGTTTTTACTCAACAGCCACCTCCGCAGATATATGATAAGCAGCTGGATGAAAGAGAACACACAATCGAAGAGTGGAAAGGTATTCTCATTTTTAAAGGACCTTTGCTCCGCCCCAGACCATGTTAGCCCCCGAGCCTCTGTTCTTTTGCCTGTTCCACAATATTGCCCTCCCTCCCTCCCTCGTCTGTCTGTCTGTCGCAAGCCCACACGTAAATGCAAGATCAGTCTTAGGGCTGAATTAGACAAGACACTGGGAACAAGTTGGGGACTGGATTTCCCGAACCTGACCCTGATCTTCGTACAGTCACACAGCAGCTGCTGGGAACAAAGTTGTTCAGGATGGACAAAAGGAAACCCTACTTTATGCAGAAAGTGATTAAAATGTGGAATTTGCTGCCAGAAGATATACTGATGGATTCAATAGATTCCAGGATGCAGCTTCAGGGGAAGGCCTTGGCCTCTGTGCCCTGTTGTTGGCCGTCCAGAGGAACTGGTTGGCCGCTCAGTGAGGCAGTATGCTGGACTAGATGGACTACTAGTCTGGGCTAGCCGGGCTCTTCTGATGTTTTTAAAGCCCACACGTAAATGCAAGATCAGTCTCAGGGCTGAATTAGACAAGACAAGTTGGGGACTGGATTTCTCCAAACTGGCCCAGATCTTCGTACAGTCACACAGCAGCCGCTGGGAACAAAGTTATTCAGGATGGACAAAAGGAAATCCTACTTTATGCAGAAAGTGATTAAACTGTGTAATTTGCTTTCAGAAGATGTACTGATGGATTCAATAGATTCCAGGAGGCAACTTCAGGGGAAGGCCTTGGCCTTTGTGCTTTGTTGTTGGCCATCCAGAGGAACTGGTTGGCCACTCAGTGAGGCAGTATGCTGGACTAGATGGACTACTAGTCTGGGCTAGCCGGGCTCTTCTGATGTTCTTAAAGTTCCCAACTGTGCCTGGGCCCAATTCAGAGCCAGACTGAAGTGTGTGTGTGTGTGGGGGGGGAGCTTTGGCCTTCCTTCCTGCCCCCTTTCCCCAAACTGAAGTAATCTTGGGTAGGCATTGTCCGCCCTATTGGGGAGCTGCAAGTGAGCCACGTCGCTAACAATTGGTAAATAGGATACATAAAGCTGGGATCTGAAACCATATCTTAACCATAGCTTTGCATTATAGGTGAATGCAGGTATCTTGGCTTGATCCTGGTTTGTTCTTGGCAACACTGGCGAGGAGACCAACTAAAGGGATGGGGTGGGGGTGGGGGAATTGAAGACAATTAGAACAATATTTGTTGAGAAAACCAGAATTGTATGGAAGGAGGGAGAGGACGCGGACAGGTTCCAGCAGGCCTTTAAACCCTTGCCCCCCAACCTGACGCCAGCACGCTTCTATGCCCGCTTGGGAGAGACACACACCTCCCCGCTTACTGGGCTGCCAGCAAACCCTCAACCCCACGGTTGAGGGGTGGCTTGGGGCAGCATTCAAATGATCGTATGTTGCCTACATTTTAGTTTCACAAACTATGGTTGAAATAAACCCTGGCTCTGTGCTGTGTCTGATCTGGGCCCTCTGCTCTTTTAGACAGTCCATGTACCCACAGGTGATAATACAGTAGGGTTTCCAGCTCTGGGTTGGGAAATTCCTGGAGATTTTGGAGGTGGAGCCTGGGGAGGGCGGTGTTTGGGGAGGGGAGGGTCCTCAGCAGGGTCTAAGGCCACAGAGTTCACCCTCCAAAGCTCCCATTTTCTCCAGGGGAACTGATCTCTGTAGACTGGAGATCTGTTGTAAAAGCAGGAGATC